AAACAATTATATAAAATTATTATATAATGCAAGTGCAGTCGAGGTCATAACAAAGCCAAATAAAATGATGTGAGTCGTGATTTTGTCACACCCGCTGTTATTGATATCAGAATGGATGATGCAGCAACACCTACCGAACAGAAACGAAAACGTGGTCGGCCTATAAAGGACGGAAGAAAATGGTCCAATATTATTTGTGAGTTCTACTTAAATTTATAGCTTAAGTTAAAATTTCTTTATAGAAGCCTCAATTATAATTACCAGTTATTATCTTATAGTTGATGATCCAACAACACCTACCGTAGAAAAACGACAACATGGTAGACCGAGATCTATTCAACTCACAACTTCCACAATGATTGGTTAGTGCTAAATAAATTCTTGACATTTTTATTGCCTAAATTGATTTTATATTAAACAAAATGCATGTGCAAATTTATTATAATAACTGGATTAAATAAGTTGTAAACATAAATGCAGGCGAAACTTCACAAACCCGCATGCTTGTGAACTTCAACAAAAATAATGTTGTTCGTGATACCTGTCAAAACTCTGCGATCTTACACTCGATTGTGGAGAACCGCTTGCAATACCAACTCAAAAATGTGGTCGACCTAAATATGTGTCCAAAACAACGTCCAGAATTAGCGTTTAGTGCAATAAAAGTTCATACTATACTATATAATCTACAATACTATTTCTATTTCAAACATTTAATTAAGTCATTTATTTTAAATAATGTTTTTTAGAATATTGGGACATGGGATGACACCACAGTGATGCACAAATATTGTTTTCAAGCTGTAGAAACTTTATTGAAAGCTGTCATAGAAGCAATTAACCTTATGAATCATTACAAGCCATTCAGAGGAAAGCCTATTGGTTTTAAAGGAGACTTTCGACAAATCCGATTGCCCAAATTGTTAAAAACACATATCCAGTGTTTAAGGAAGCAACTGATGATAAGAAGGACTGAGTCATATTAGCACCAACATTAGAGATTGTTGAGTCCATTAATCAGCACATGACATCGCTGAATTTGGGTGAAGGACATACTTATTTGAGTTCTGACAGTACGTGCAAATCAAATTGTCAGAACGACTTTTTATCTGATTACACACGCCTGAGTTCTTGAATTCTATCAAATGTTCTGGAGTGTTGAATCATGAGTTGCATTTGAAGATAGAAACTCCGGCCATGTTGCTGAGAAATATGGATATATCTTTGGGACTATGCAACGGGACGCAATTGGTTGTAACAAAGTTCTCCGCTCATGTGTTAGAATGTAAAATCTTCAAGGGAGATCATTCAGGTGAAAAGGTGTTTGTCCCCCGTATGATGCTTATTACTCTTCTGATGTTGCTTTCAAATTCCAGCGAAGATAGTTTCCACTGATGGTTTCATAAGTCATAGCGATAAACAAGAGTCTTGTGTCAATCTTCATCGTATGTTGGCCTACTGCAGAAGAAATCGGTATTCAGTCACGGTGATCAGCTGTATGTAGCTATTTAACGCTTTACGAATCGTAAGGGTTTAAAAATTATAATTTATGGTGATGACGATGTACCAAAAGATCAAACAAATAATGTTGTGTACAAGGAGGTGTGTAATAATATATAATTAACATTTTATTTTATTTCAATACATTATTTTTATGATATGACCAATCATCCAAGCATCTAAATTTAAATGTTTCTTTAATAATACTAGCCCGTGCATCGCACGGGTACTGCACTAGTTAAAAATCATGCACCTTTACATGCAAAATGAAAATCTAAACAACTTTAAATGAAGGGCAATTAAGTAAATGAAACATTTATCCTACCATTAGTCCTGGTTAGCAAATGGATAGCATATCATATTTCAACAATCTTATCTACTATCAATCATGTACAACAAACCAATGATTTGTCTCATCTCTACAAGACAATCTTGATGCCAAAGATTAGTTTTATCTAATCTCATCTACCTAAACAAACACGCTCTAAGTGTAAAACACAAAAATAGTTTGAGTGAAATTGAGAAAAACAAACTAAAACAGCTTCAGTCCTTGGATGCGTAAGAACCCTCGAACTGAACTGTGTACAAAAACTAACAGAACAGAATTATCTCTATAAAGCTCGAATATTGCTCTAAGTATCAATGATATCAGCAGCCGCAATAGGAGCTTCTCATAGGGTATTTATTCAGTCTCCTTAGGGTTCGAGTCTTTTCCAAGGCATAGGACTCCTTATGTGATTTCCTTCCTTATTTGTAGCATACGTTTGGTAAGTGTGGATCTCCTCTTCTCTCTCCTAGATCTCCTCCTCATGCATATCTTTTCTTCCTTGTTTCCATGTGATTCCGATTTCCTACAAGAGAAGATATCATAATAAGATCCATGCAATCTTATATATGGAATACAAAATAAACTAAGTATGGAAATAATATAAACAAAGATCTTCCTTTTTTCTGTGGTTCCAGGTGGTTGTTCGAACCAGCGAACTAATGCCAAACAAAAATATCTTTCATCCTTGTCGATCTCATCTACAGATCGACAAAATCTACTTCTTATTTTTTTCTGCACTTGTCCTTTTTATCTTCGTTATTTCAATTCTTCATATTTTGGTTAATTCATCCCAATTTATTAGTTATTCGGTAACCTACAGCCTGTTAAACATGATCTATAATGTTTGGTAGTCGACTGTCAACAAAGCTTACCAAAATGTTGGTCATTTAAACATTCATAGAGACGTCGTCACAATTTCATCCGCTATTCATTCCTCGCGGGTGGGCAAGTGTGAAGACCAAAACCCATCATGACTAAGGCCCTCGGGCTGGGTGGTCGCTTGTTTAGAACATCCTTTGGGGTGGGCAGGTTGGTCGATTACTCACGCCCTCGGGCTGGATGGCCTCCTGTTTAGAACATTCCTCGCGGGTGGGCAAGTGTGAAGACCAAAACCCACCATGATTAAGGCCCTCGGGCTAGGTGGTCGCTTGTTTAGAACATCCCTTGGGGTGTGCAGGTTGGCAAGGAAGACGAAATAGATTAGTTTAGGCAAATAAGACATAAGATTGTCTCCAAATTAATCTTGCGTTCTTTTTTTTATTATTGTTAATTAATCTTGCGTTCTTAATCCTCGGAGTAGTTGGCAGAAGGGCAGGATTGGACATGAATACATTTGTCTTGACTTTGTTTCGTCACAATTTTTCTATTATCTTTTGATATGGGATAACCACACCATGTCGACTAGACTGGAGAGGCAATCAAACCGAACCGGTCTATTCATGGGGTGGAAGGGATAAAGGAGAGCACTCAAGTTGAAAGACCCTCTAGACGAAGAAAGCACACGAGACCAGAGGATACCAAAAGGCCAAACAGAGGCTTTCGGAGAGCATGGTCGAAGGTCAAAAGGAAGAGGGGATCTGATCGAAGGATTGACCATATGGGCAGGACAACAAAGCTTATTGCCGACAACACCCCACCTTAAGGCAAGGGAGGTCAAGTCCACGATTAGGCCATCTAATGAAGAGATCTTGGAGATACGAAGGAATCTTAGGGAAATTAAACCCCTCACTTGGGTAAAACCACATGGCGCCACCAGAGTGGTCCACGTCTCACGACCATCCCTGTCAGACTAGATGGCTCTGACAACTGAGGTAGCACATGCGCTTGCTGGTGGGGAGCTCACGCCCGACTTGGGCTCTAAAGTATCTTCTCCCTATAAAAGGGTGTGATATATGCCAAAAGTCGGCGTTAACAGGGTTTTTTTTTAGTTAGATACAAAAGTCTCAGTCGAAAGTTAAAAAAAAAAGAAAAAAAAAATGGGGTGCCCTTGGACTAAACAGAAGTACAAAACGGAGAACAGAAACTCACAAACCCTTCACCTTCAGCGACCCTTCTTCTTCAGGCGGACCCCACTCGCTGTTGGACGTGACTCGCCGTCAGATTCAAGCCTCCCTCTTGTCACTCACTCAGTTACTTTTACAATTTTTATGAGATTCTTGGACATTATGTTAGTTCACTTAATTGTAATTTAACAAAATATCTTGACATTTTTGTGATGATTTATCTCGTATAGCTACTTGTGATGAAAGAGTGTCAGTTGATTTTCTCTAAGGGGCATGGAAAAGATGAGATGCCTTTATATTCAGAGAGGTCATATGACTAACCTGTGTATTAACATATCTTTTACTCTGTATGTTCTATGTATTTTTGTGTCAATGTTAGAATTTATACATTATGTAATTAGGTTTTTTTAATTTTAAGATTTAGTGAAATTTGACAATTAACATGCTTGTCCATAGATTTTGGGCAGAAATCCACACCCCCCAACATTTATGGTTTTGCACCTAGCTACTTTCTAGATATGGTCACGGGCCGGGCTGGACCGTTGTCTGGTCCCGGTCCGTAGGTTGCCGGTTTCGAGAACTGGCACTGTGGCTACTTTCTAGATATGGTCACGGGCCGGGCTGGCCCGATGTCTGGTCTCGGCCCGTAGGTTGCTGGTTTCGAGAATTGGCACCGTGGCTCTATCCACGGGTTAGTCCCGGGTCCGTTTTACTTTGTCCCGACAGTCTGGGATCGGGCCGGGGCCGGGCCGGGCCGGTTCAACGGTCCAGTCCTTGATTTTTGGCGGTTGGCGGGCTGATTAAGGGTCACCAATGGGAGGCCGCCGACCCAGCAGGCCACGACCCGGCCCGTCGATGTCTACTCCTTTCTTTTCTTCTTTTATAAAAAATCTCTCTTTTTCATCAGTCGCTCAAGAAAATACACCTTCATCTACCCTTTCTCTCAATCCGCAGAATTCGCCTCACGCTTCCCTTGTAATTTGCCCGTTTTGCTTCACCGTAATCCAATTCAGGTCCAACTCTTGTGTTTTCCCTTGTCGAATTTCAAGCTCTGTTCCCAATTAGTCTCGATCCGGGCAGGCTTTTCATCTTCCTTGATCTGAAAGTATATGTATCGAGCAACACAGTCTTCTGTTGTAGTTGTTGATTTTACTGGTAAGTAAACAGAAATGAGGCCTCAGCCCAGAAGGAAAAAATGGAGCGAGGCGGAGGAGAGGAGCTTAATCGAAAAGTACGGCGAGATGTCCCGCGACGGCACCTTATCGAAGATGAAAACCCGCGAGAAGAAATACAAGCCCATCGCCGCCCACGTGAACGCCGGCCACCATGCCCGGGACCCTTCTTCCTACCCTTGGCAATGGACCTGGAAAGACGTCTCCACCAAAATCCAGAACATGAGGCACCAATACTCCCTTGTGAAGCAGAAGATCAAGAAACCGGGAGATTCCGAGGAGTTCGACTGGCCGGACGGCACCACGCACTGGTCCAACTTCATCCTCTACAAGGACGTGTTTGGTGATGTCCCCCTCGTCTTTCCTTCCGAGCCCGAACCCTATAACAACGAGCTCTTGGTTGGGTCGGATTTCGTTGATTTGGAGTTTGATTACGAGGAGGACTATAATAAAGATAAAAACGATGAGTTTATTGAGGAGCCAAACCAAACAAGGAAGAGGAAAAAGGGTTGGGGGTTCGTTTCTGCCCAGCTTGGGCGGCTGACGGAGTTGGAGGCCCAGCTGGAGCGGCGTGAGGCTGAGAGAGAAAACGAGAGGCAGAGAAGAGAGAATGTGATGGAGAGAGAAAAGGAGAGGAGGAGGAGGGAAAGGGAGGAGATGGAGAGAGAGAGTGAGGAGAGAGAGATGATGAGGAGGGAGGAGGTTTTGGTGCGGGAGAGAGAGTGGGAAGAGAGAATGGAGAGAAAGAGGGAAGAGTGGAAGAAGAGAATGGACGAGATGTTGAGCCGGCATCGGGCGGAGATGGGCCAGATGCAGGCTCGTATGCTTCACGAGCAGCAGACCCTCGTGGGCCAGTTTATAGGGCTCGTGTCCCAGTGGGCAGGCGGGCTCACAGATCACCACACACCAGACCCTCGTGCCCCAGTTTATCTGTCGCAGATGATGGTCCATGGTGATGCGAGGGTCGAGGGGGATAATCAGGAAGATCAATTTATTGTTGATGGTTAATTGGATTAAGCAAAGTGTTCACAGTTCGAGGTTAGGTCTCCGTAAAGCCTATAGCTTTGTAGTTCATATGATGTATATTACTTTCTATTACTCGTTAGTATGGCATATGTACCTTGTTTTTGTTGTAACTACCCAAATGGAAATCAATTTCCAAGTGTTGCTACTTGAATTATGTTTGAGCAGTGATGAGTTGGGTGGGTGAGAGTCGAATAAAGCTATACTTTCTTAAAGGACTCGACTCGTGTCTAGAGCTTATTTTGTTTGTGTTCAGTCAGTTTTTTTTGCTGTGAGTCGGTTAACATTTCATTCATCATGATAATTTGCAGATGTTGTAATCTCACTACTGAGTCTGCTGTAAGTTGTGCATTCAACTTTTGTATGCTTTTTCTGTTGTTCCATTCAATCCACTATGAGATTTTTCATTTATTTTCAAGTCTAACATCATGCTTTTTGAGCTTCATCCTCTTATATCATACTGAGATGATGAGCTTTGTAATATTCTTTGTCCAACATTAGAGCTGTTTAAGTCGTCATTATTATTTCTGTTAGGATTTAGTGACATCACTGCCTCTGTGAATTCAATTAGTTGTGCTTTGAGCCTTTCTGTGTCGACTTTCCTTATTCTTTTCCGGCTCTAATTGCCATCTCTTCGATTGTGTACTCCTGCACTGGGCGTTTATGGACATTCTCTTCTAACTTGGGACTGATGAAGCATAGATCCTTCTTTCCTTCGGACAGTTGGATTCTTCCTTTGTAGTTTGTTGCTGTAGCTCATTTTCTTGTCCGAGTCCATGTGTTCCAGAAATTCTGGAAGTGCTTGATGAATAGGGTCGGCTCTTGATAGTGTTTTCATGTACATTATTACTCTCTTTTGTTCTCATGGATTACATCTATAATATGATACAGCATACACATTCTCCCACCATACATCCTTATTTACCCAGCAAAGTCATTGCAAAGAGAAGTACACATTTACAAAGAGTCATCTCTATCTGCATTGATTTTATTAGACGATGGGCACCTAATAGACACTGTTATCGTACCAAGTCTTGGATTTTCAGCAACATAACTCAGCTTCCTTTACATTCTCGGGGAACTGTTACTTTTGAGGCATCTGTGATTCTTTAGCTCCATTCCTTTTCTTTTTCAGATTCGAGCGGTTTTGGAAGCGAATTACAAGCCTCGGCAAGTTTCCTTGTATCATGATGACCGAGTCCGTTTAGAGCATCAGCAATGCTTTGGGTACATTCAAAGAAATATACTGGTCATGTAGGAAACAGACTCAGTTTACAAAATTATATACTCCAATGTAGTTGCAAGTGGACTGGGTCTTGCTGACGTGGCAGTAGAAAAAAGAGACTCGGTCTATCCTTAAGTCTAATTTAGATCCAAGTAAAGACCTAGTTTCTTTGCATTAGAGTCAATTTTGTTACTTTTATATATTTTTGTCCATGTCACCCAAAACTTAAATCTATTTACTTGCCACATAATCAAAATTAGACCCAAAGCATTGCAGATGCTCTTAGAGGGCAAATATTACTTCACCAACATCTTCCTAAAATTACCCACTTACCTTGCCCATCAACAAAGTTATCAAAAATTACAATATAACATATTGGAACTCCTCCCCCGATGAAGTTTTACAATACAAAATAAAAGAGAAGAATATATCTCCCTAATACAATAATTCACGAGTGTATCTTGGGTTCACAGTCTTGTACATAAGAACATAAGAGGAGCATTGTTCAAAACAAAGAGTATTAAAGTAGGAGTCTTTGACCATTTAGACCTCAAAGTAGACATGGCTACGGGTCACTCGGCCCGTCGACCCGGTCCGGAACCGGCACAGACCCGGTCCGGTCAAACCCGTTGACCACAGGTCCGGGCCCGTCACGGATTTTAAACGGGCCGGTCAAGGGTCATGTTTTTTTCGACCTCGACCTGGCGGGCAGGGTCCGGGCCGGCACGAAAAAAACATTGCTTTTGAATTTTTTTATTTTTTTTATTTTTTTTTTATTGTGTCTGAGTCCAAACCCGGGTCGGGCCCGGCCCGACCCGGTGGCTCATGGACCCGGCACGACCCTAGGTCCGTGCCGGTTTAGGGTCGTGAAAACTCAACCCGGTGGCCCGACGATCCGGCCCGGTTTTTGGCCATGTCTACCTCAAAGACTACCCAACTTAACTCCTCTTTTGTCTATTTTGATTTTCTTTTTAGTAATTGGGATAGAACTAAGTTCGGACACTACAAACAGATACTAAAATTGGATAACTTACTAAATCCCAATAGTACAGAAAAGGATTCATTTAATGAGCAATGAAGCACGTTAGATGTACCATTAAAGAATGAGACTGGCATCATAACCTCATTTTCAAGCAATCCTTTACTTCACGACATCTCTCATGCGAATTGAACACGAACCCCGAACCTCGTGCTGAAGCTAGACATGGCCAAAGCATATGATAGGGTCGAGTGGTCGTTTCTCAGAGAGGTACTGGCTCGGATGGGATTCCCCAACCGTTGGATTAGCTTTGTGGAGGCGTGCGTGGAACACTGCACATTCTCCGTTTTGATTAATGGTAGCCCCACGACCTTTTTCCCCTCTACCCGCGGCCTTCGTCAAGGGGACCCCTTATCCCCCTCCCTTTTTGTTCTG